ATTTTACACAGATTACATGCGCGTTGGAAAAAATGCAATTTATACTTTGACGCTTAAAAAGACTTTTATAAAGTTCAAATAATAAGAAAACGAGATTGTACTTTACTTAAAGCAGCTATTTAAACATCTTACATTGCAATTTGTTTCAGAAATCAATGTCTTTATCTCGTTTTATAAATCGTTTATGATTAATTCATTCTAAATCGAAAATACGTGGTGATAAAGATGAGAATAATTATTATTTCTCTTTCAGGTTATTTGAATAAAATATATTCAAAAATTTTGAATATTGAACCATGTTTTATAATCAAATAAATTAAATTAAAAAGGAATTAATTATTCCTTTTTAAAAATTAATCTTAAACAATTAATGTATCGTTATATATTTATTTTTATTAAAAAATCACGTCTATTTAATGATACTTTAATACGAAAATTTAATGATGGAATGTAATTTTATTATGATAAAATCATATACATTATACAGTAGACTATGATCGTCAAACGAGAAGATTAAAGGAATGTACCTAAAGCTCATTGAGCTACGAGAAAATTACATTATCACACTAATAGAGGTCGTACCGTTTACTTAAGAAACTATGCAAATTTCCTTTTGGACATTTCACGTGACTCCATGTGAAAATTTCATATAAATATATAAACTTTTTTACACGTCAAGAAACTTTTCTCTATCTCTGTCTCTCTTTCTCTTTCTCTTCTCTTCTTCAAACCAATTACCTCCAATTTATTCTCTTATTTCGAGTGGACAACACGATTTTTATATATTCATACAGTTTCATAATTCACTTGCATTTTCAAATTTCGCCGGCAGATAATTTGTTATCTGGCAGGGAATAATGGAGGAACTTTTAAATCATGCAGTTCGCAGCTACGATGCAATAGATAGAAAGCTTTGTGAACTGGTTTTTCACGCCTGCGAAAGCACCTTTTATAATTGAAACTTTCTTAATATCACGGATATTAAAAATGCCCAGAGTTTCCCAATGATTCTGCAACTTTCTCTACGTCGCCGTTTCTCTTACTTATGAACAACTGTTACATCCTTTACAAACTGGTAAATATCATCTCGATACAGGCGAAGAAACGTTATATTTTAATTTTGATCAAAAAAGTAATAAAT